TAATGACAAGGATTGAAAAGGGAATGTTACGTTGGTTTGGACATGTAGAAAGTATGGATGAAAGCTGTTACAAAAGTATACAGAGTGTATATGAATCGGAACGTCGGTAGAGGGCGCTTTAGACAGACATATATCGACCAGATTGGCGATATATTAATGGGCCCGATTAAAAGTACCCTTAACCGACGAGCATACATGAAAAGATTTTTTTTTTTTTTTTTTGGCGTTCCATAGTCTCTGCCTACTGCCATGGGGGACAGTCTTGAACGACAGTATGTTTGTATGTGCTTAATAGGCTGTGTGGTAACATACAGAGTAGAATACATTTATGACCACCCCGACTCTTTCCGCGGGTGTCGTATACCCGACTTACGTCCAGTTTCAATAACCTATCTATCTGTAGATTTGCTTACTAGAGATAGAATATTGACACATTTTGTATGGAGCTCATGTATTATTATTATTACTTTTTTTAAGGTGTAAATATTTTATTTCATAGTTATTTATATTTTAAGTTGTATATATTTTCATTTAGTTATAGTTAATATTAATTGTATATTGTATATGATAGGTTATTGAAACTGGACGTAAGAGACTACACATTAGACAGAGACCGGGCAGCAGCGCTCTCTGATAAACCTGAACCTTTTAACCTGATCTCCATCTTGCCTGCTTAGCGTGGACATGACGGAAAACTCTGAGGTAAAGAAGGTTCATTTTCAGTAGTGGACTTTAATCACCGCCTCGCAATTATAGGTGATGACTATTTTTTTTTTAAAGTCCGTCTGGTAGATTATTTTAAATCATTAGACATGTATTTTTTATTTTCTTACAGAAACGAATACTTTCGACGATATATTGATTTGAAATGTCGCGTGACGTCACTTCTATGTACATTTTATAAATACTTATCGTCCCATTAGTAGAATAATGTTCTATTTGCAAATTGTCGACTTTTCAGTAGAGCGATTATAAATTTCGCGCGCACATATTTGCTTATAAATCTGTTATAAATTATACTAGCTACTTAATATTTGTACAGTATGCACAGAAGTTAGTACCGTTTATGATAATATAATTATTTGTTTTATAAACTATGCCTTTTCAAGTATAATGGGTCGCATGTGCACATACAACGTTCTTTTGCCAAAAAAAATATTGAATGAGATGTCTTAAGGATACATAAAACAATATTCGACGAAACTATTCACGATACATCGGCATATCAAACATTATTTTACGAATTTTGGTGGTTTTATCCGTGTTTTATATGAAACTGTAATACTAAGAAAGTAGAATTGGTTTTAAATTCATCATTATTACTGAGTATTTTTATGTATTTAAAAACGTTGGTGTTTTCTTAATCAATTTATTAGTCAATGTAGTAATCAATATACGAGTAAATTAAAAATAAATACAAACTGACTACATACACTATGAGGAATAACCTAATCAAGATATTTATTATAAAATTATTAAAAGAGGCGACAGAAAAACAGAATAATGCTCTTACAATTCTTACAAAATAAATACATGGCGATCCATAAGAAAAAAATATTATAGATCACTTAAAACTAACTATTGACTTATTTCTTTCTGTGGTTATTCTCATGAATAAATCAGTCCTATATAATTGTAATATAAAGTTAGCTTAATAATAAAAACACAATAAATAATTATGGCACCATTGTGAATATATTAAAAAAATATTAAAAATAAAAAATTAGTCTCAAACATAGAAAACAATTATGAAAACACTAAACTAAAGAACAAACAATATACTAACTACTAGTCTACTAAAGAGGAAAGATTTAAATTTTTGTTTGTTTGAATTGAAAAAGGCTCCGAAACTACGGAACGGATTTCAAAAATTCTTTTAGCGTTGGAATCTTACATACTACACCCCTTATAAGAAAAAGATAGGAACCGTGTTAAAATTTCGAAAATGTAACCCGATTTGTGAAAAATCAACCATAAATATTGCTTAATCTATTGACTACTAATAGAAAACTGTAAAAGCAAATGCTTTTGTATTCTTTTGAATTCCTATCCCCAATCCTTTAAAAGAGCGCGAACGAAGCCTTGGGCAGAAGCTAATCCATTAAAATAACGTATTCATTTAATTGAATTAGAAAATCCCTGATCCTAATGCAGTTACATAGTAGTATTAGTCCTTGAAAACCCGTAGCATTTCATTTGTTTTAAGTAATTTTTAGTCCATCGAGGTCAAATTTACCATGAATGTTTGCCCGTCTCCTTTAGGTAATAGTATTAGAAGTAGCGTCTTACCGGTACAAATCAGGCCACATTATTAGTACCAAAGTAATAACCCGGAAGTCCCAGAATTAGAATATGTGCTATATCTCAGGACTCTATCTTTTAAACCACTGAACGTATTTGATTGAAATTTGGTTTACGGTTCACTGGCACTGAAACAATCACTGGGACAATCTATGGCTTAAAATACTGAACCTATTTGAGTGCAACTCTGTTGAAATTTGTACATTCGGACAATACCGTCTAGATATCATTACGTCGTGTTTTACTTAAATAATGTGATTGGATAGATGCAAATGAGTTCACTTGGTCACAACCGCTAGTGATCATGTCTTCTACGATTACCTTTTTTTAATTTTTGTGGCGGTCTCTGTAATCGTCTTCTACGACAGTGCTGTTGCAGTACTTATCTCATGTAGTTTTAACTATAGTTTTGTAGCGTATTGCGTCGCTTGCTCGTTATAATATGTATAAATAAAATTGCAATTCTTTGGTGTATCCTGATTCAAACATCTGTTTTTCGTCTTGGTGGTGTACTTTATTTCATATTCCCTATTTAATGCAAATTCTAACTCAAAGATCGTCTATTCCACTGGTACCACAAACTCACCAATTGAGCCTGACCTGCTCTTTCCCCATCGTTTGAGAAATCATCATTGAAAAAATGTAATAATAAAATTATATTGGATATAATTATTTTTCCTTTGATTCTGTAAAAGTAACAAGGAGTATATGCATAACATAATAGTTTAAAAAAAATTAGTAAAGTAAATGTATGTACATAACTTAGATATATGTAATTTGATGAGCGCTCGAGTGGTCTACTGTGGTAGTACGCACTCACTTTTTCACGTGTCACTGTTTTATTTTTTTTTTGCTCTAAACTGGGAGTTTAAAAAATAAACTATTTCGATTTTTCTAATACAAAAAGCAAACATGTCAAAAAGGGAGGCGTGCACTCTTGTGTTTAGGTCCATTGGTGTTTTCAATGTAAACTTACATTAGTTACTTTTTTGCTATACCTACCTAGTACATTTAGTTGTTAATAGATTATTGAATAAGCTGTTCATATTTTAAATTAAATTTAACCATTTTATAGCAATTTTAAGATTTCGAATATTGTTTTATAATAAAACCGTTGGTAAAAAGAAGTGTCATTTGCATATACGGCACTCACTTTAATTATTTTTTTTGTAGAATAATGTTTTATGCGTACTTGCGGACGAAAAAAATATAAAATTTTACGTAGTAAAATGTACTAGGTTTATAAGAAACTGGAAAAATAGGGGAAAAAATAAGACAAGTGCTATTAGATACCGTTATGTTATATAAGTTATTATTAAAGTATTTAGTTCAGATTTAAGATCTAATAAGTAAGCTTTGGTATTTCGTAAAAAAATGTTTTATGTGATTATAAATACTGTCTTTGTGGGAAATTTATAAAACGTAGTGTAAATTGTATCAAACCATTATATACAGCATATTTTATCAAATTTTGGGTATTCATTGTAACAAACACCACTCGCGGCTACTTCGTCGAACAACGTTACTTAGGATGAAGCGACACGGCACGCGCAGCTAATTGCGCAGGAGCAAGGCGGAGAATATTGTTGTATGTGATCATGCATAGTTATTTTACGTAGTCGGCGCGGATAAAACTTTATTCGAGCATTGTATCTTTTGAATTAATGGATAAAAATATATAAAAATAATATTAATCGATAGTTTACATTATAAGGATGACGAATTTAACATAATATGAATTTCGACACATGTGATCATAACACTTTATTCTTCCAATGGGACGTTATTTGGAATTTTTGTCTGTTTGTTTGTTTGTCTGTATGTATGTCCGGGATGATCTCAAAAAGTACTGTATGGATATAATTCAAATTTTGCATGAATATTACTAACAAGTCTGGTAAACATATAGGCTACATATTATCACGCTATCATCTACGGGACTGAATCAATTCTGGCGACATTCGTTACCGTAGAATATCCCTTCAAACTAATTCAAAAGCCTAAATTCTGCACAAAACTCATTATTTTACGCGGACGAAGTCGAGGGCTAGTATTTTTTTGGGCCTACGGTAACCTCACTCACACAACGCAAGCGTTGCTTCACGTCGGTTTTCTGCTCGGTTCTGTATCACTCCGGCCGAGCCGGCCTTTCGTGCCGAAGCATGGCTCTCCCACACTTATCCTTCATGTCAATGTGTGTAAGTCTATAGTAGCCAGGTACCACAGTCGTTAAGATACTATGTCCGTCTTTTGTTCAACGTCTTTATTTATTCCATAGACGTTCCCCGTTTTGCCTATTAATTCAAGTTATAAGATTCACGTTTTCAATTATTTTCGTAATCTACAAACATAATATAATGTGCCCAGTATATGGCAATAGGCTCACCCCCTAGTACATGAGACTCATAACATAAATAGTGAAAAGTGGGCGTTACATTGTACAGTGGCATTACGGCTATTAAGACCACTACTACGGGGCTAAAAGGCGTGATGTTAGGATGGGAACAAACAATATTAAAAAAAATATATTTTCTCGTTCTAGCTATGGTAAAACATTTAATGGAGTTGTTTACTGGATAGTACATTTTTCCTCCGCTAGGCTGCGCTTTGTATTTCTGACTCATAACCACTGACATGAACGTAGTATATTTCATGTCAGTGCCCATAACCAATGATTTTGGAGTAATTACAAAGTTTTATTTTTTGGTTTCATTTAAAAATGCCTCGATGTGTGATAGTAGGGTGCAATGAGAATGGAAGACATACATTTCCAAGCGATCCGAAATTAAAAACATTATGGGAAAAAGCTACAAAAATAAAAAAATTCAAAGCTTCAAAGAATTCCAGGTTATGCTATAAACATTTTAAAGACTCCGATTATCAAGAAATTTGTGCTACGACAGGTAAAATTATCTTATTTAAGATGACCTTTGACCGAAAAGATAGAAATCATATATTTTTTTATTAGTTTTCTAGTAAACAGGTTATTATTGCGTGTTTGTTGTCACTGAAATAATAAGTGAAATTTATTTCCAGGACGGCCACCACTTTGTAAACATTTAAAAAAAGGTGTTGTTCCCTCCATTTTCCCATGGACACCTAAACCTTCAACATCTGCTATAGAACGACAAAATCGATACATTAAAAGGTCAGCAAAGAAAGAATTATTTCCTCCACAGAACCCTATAGAAACACTTACTGGTAATTACTCCATGGAAGATAGAAATGCAGTCTCTGATAAAGAAGAAAATCTGCCCGATGTACAAATGGAAATTGAAATTAAAACACATGAGTTAGGAAACATGGTTAGCGATGAACCAGAAAGATCAATCAGGCTTGTGAATTCATTTACACAAACTCCACGTTTGAATTTTCTTTTTTCAAACTATCAGCTTATGACAGATGATGAAACTATACTATACTATACTGGACTGGAAAGCTATGAGAAGTTTAAGACTGTTTTATCAACTCTTTTGCCGATGGCATACAGTATTTCTTATCGTAGGAATTATGTTATGAATATGTCTATTGAAGATCAGTTTTTACTTATGTTAATGAAACTCAGAAGAAACTTAGATGATTTTATTCTATCAAAACATTTTGATATCAGTAAATCAGAAGTAGGTAATGTATTTGTAACATGGATAAATTTTGTACACCAATTGTGGTCAAAACTAAATATATGGCCAAGTAGAGAACTCGTTGATTATTTTATGCCATCACAGTTTAAAAAAAACCATAAAATTACCAGAGTAATTATAGATGGAACTGAAGTGCCTATCACAAGACCTAAAAACCCAAAATCACAACAGGCCACTTTTAGTAGTTATAAACATCACAACACAATTAAGTTTCTGGTTGGCTCCACACCTGGTGGACTACTGTCATATTGTTCAGAAGGATATGGAGGATCAACTAGTGACAGGCAAATCATAGAACGCTGTAATGTTATTCATAAATGTAATCCAGGTGATGGAATCATGGCAGATCGGGGATTTAACATTCAAGATTTGTTAGCACCTAGAGACATAACATTACTTGTGCCAAATTTTTTGAAAGGTTTATCTCAATTACCTGGTATAAAATTGAAACATGACCAGAAATTAGCTGCTAATCGAATACATATTGAACGTTTAATAGGTCTGATAAAAACTTATAAAATTTTTAAAACTGATGTCAATGCATACTATGTTCCGTTAATGTCAAAAATATTTTTTGTGTGCCTTATGTTATGTAACTTTAGGGAAAAAATTGTAAATTAATATTTTTAACATCTTATCTCAATGTCCAGAAACCTTTTGGTCGAAGTGTTTCATTTTTATAATATTTTGTTAATTCAAAGGTGAAATTTTAATACGCAATTTTGTTACACAGACAATAGTTCTAAATAAAAGCCTTATTATTATAAAATATTTTTTATTTTCTGTTTTCACAATACCTTGGCACAATAATCATCAAAAAATAACACATTTTAATTATGGTTATTCAGAAAAATCATGTTTTATAATTTCTAAATAATTCTTATAAAAATATTTGTTGATTATAGCTTTCTTGAAATAAGAATGATAAAAAGAGTCCAATTTGTATAGCATTTGCTCTATGAATTCATCATCTCTATTAACAAAAACCACCTCTAAACTTTTAAAGGTATAAACTATAAAATTACAATATTTTCTGTTACTGCAGTAAAGTTGCCCTTGAACTTGATAATAATATGGTGTTTCTGCTTTTAAACATAACTTATTGTCAATGTAGATTAAGTATGGTACTGTAGTTGGACTTATAACTTGATATCTACTAGCATAAGGACACTTTATTTCAATTAATGTCTCTTCATTTAAAATACCATCAGGCGAAGCAGCCAAATAAGGCCTTTCTTCTGAAATATTCACTCCACTTTCTGTCACATCTACCTTGTATAAATCAATATACTGTTTTAATGCAACTTTTTCATAAATTATACCATGCATAATCGATTTTGATAAAATGTTTTCTTTTTCTAGTATTTGCATGGCATAACCATTTTTACTGGTTTCTCTCATATGGCATATAGTATGAAATATACTAGCAGTCAGGCGACACTTTCTGTAAGTAAACCATTTAGGATTTTCTCGCTGCCCGCAAGTTTCACGTTCTATTTCTTTAATTCTATTTAAAGATAATGTATTTAATTCTAGTTGCTCCAAAATTTTGTTGGTCACAGGTCCACAGTAATCATGGTCATTTTCAATCGCATATGGATTTGCAGGCCCATATAGTTGTTTAAAGGGCATTTGGGATTTACAGTTAAGAATAATATTCCTCACTTTTTGGGTATATTCTTGAATATTAATTCTTTTTTTATATGGTTCGAATACAATATTCTCAATAGATTTTCTTTTAGATGGCAACTTGTGCGCTTTTAATGGACTGTCTGTAAAAATTTTTTTGGGCATATGGAAAGTTTGTAGTTTTTCTGTGGGTGCTTCTGTTTTCAGAAGAATTTTGTCATTTATAAAATTTTCAAGTGCACAAAGAACTACAGCAACATGTTTGCAGTGAGCACTCACTCCACTACCAGCAACACATTCACAGTTGCACTCCAAAATCTCACCTTTCATACTTAATTTAACATTAGCTTCATACATAATTCTTTTCATTGAAGCTTTGACATATCCTTTAAAGTAGCATGAGTCACCAATAAATGCTGCTCTCAAAATATGTAGGAACCGTGCTTCATATAATGATTTACCAT